CTTGTCTCTTTTGCATTTACTAGATTACAGAGTTCCTTTTGGTTTTGCTCTTCTTCTCTCTTTTCCTGCCCCCACTCCCTTTAGTTGCTCTTAGTTAAGAATTGCTGGCAACTTATTCCTTGTTCTTTCTTGTGCAATTTGATTTCTTGCTGCTTGTTGCAGCACTTCCTAAAACAAAAACTGTGGATCCTATCACTTAGTTACTTCTGGAGTAAATAAATACTTGTCATTAAGGTACGAGTAAGCTTTGAACAAATTAGAGGCAATGCACTGCTCCAGAGTGATCTTCATAAAATACAACTATAAATTCATCCCTCTGACTATAATGTCAAGATTATTTGATCAACAGAATAACTTGATCTATCAAAGCAGGTGGGTTTTTCTTTTTCCATCAAACTTCCATTTAAAGTAATTTTTATTTCGGGCAGTAGAAAGGACAACATATTCTTTATTGCAGTTGGTATGCAAAAGATGCCATCAAAATTGGCTTCTCTTCTACTAAAAAAAAAAAAAAAAAAAGAATTTGGAAAGTTAAGTTCTTGGGTGCTATTTTAGGAGCTATCATGCAGTCCTTGTGTCATGAGGAAATTGCAATAGATGAATTAAAAATTTGTTTAGTGTAAGATGAATATTGAAATAATTAACTCTGTTTAATTATTAGTGCAGGAAAGGAGCGTGAAAATGATATTTGCTATCACCCGTTTCGGATGACTCCTTACCTTATTAAAGTGCAAGATCCGGAAATAGCAGAGGACCAGCTTTGCTGTGTGTTGCTTGCAGAAAAAGTACATTCTGGTTACGAAGGTAATCCTTTGAATGCACAAAGACTGGTTTGATTTCCTGAGAGTAAAAACTGTTCTATGTTCTGCTATAGGAATTTCCATGCGGTGTAGCGCAAGTTAATTTCAGCCTAAGAAAGCCAACTGTATGAGTTACTATCAGTGTTCTCCAGTTTTATTGAAGTGAAAGATAATTGGTTCTGTTCTCTGCCATTGCTGAAAGGCTGTGAGCTAGCAAGCTGCTTTCCTATGTGCTTTTAGACAGACTTTTAGGCTTTACTCAGTATTTAATATGAACATGTAGCTTGAAGTATTTCATGTGTGGAAAAAAAAACCCCACTTGTTAATCTCCTCTTATTTTTCTCTCAGCACCCAGAATTCCACCTGACAAAAGAATTTTTACAACTACACACACGCCAACCTGTTTGTTCCAGGATGTAGATGAAAGGTAACTCACAAAAAATATTCTTTTTAAATTTACTAATAAGCAAGCTATCCAGTATCTTTACAAGTATTTTTAGGATTTAAGATGTCTGTGTGGAGTTAAAAAATTATGTGACTACTGAAGAGTGTTTAACCCAAGAAAAGTACATCCCCCAATTTTCACTATCATGAAAACAAATTACACTGTGGTATTTAAGTGGAAAACTATATGCCTGCTAACAACTTGTTCTTCCATTTTTCTTCTATCTGAGGCAGATCTGGACATAAATTCAATGAATGAAACCCATAGTCAGGAAAATTCCTGTGCTAACAATCATTACCTGCATGAGAATTTTTTTGGGTTTTTTTTTCTTTTAAGTTTGATCCAATTAATAACAAACAATGTGTTGCTCTCACTTTCTGCTGGCCCATGTACAATTAGAGGCGTGTCTTTTAAATGCACCATTGGATATTTAAAAATAAAAAAAAAAATTGTGTTCTCAGTTCAAACTACAGTCTTCATAGTTCTTGCTATTGTTGTCTGTGTACAAAATCTACTCAAATTCTATTGGCTGAAGACTTCACATTGCTTTGACGATCATAGAAGGTGATTAGAGTAAATATTCACATCTTCAGAGTAGAACCAAATATGCCGCCTGTGATCTTAAGGCATATGTAGAGGCTCAGGAACTAAGGTGTAAACAAAGCTTTCCTTTAGTTTTCTGGATTGCTTTTGCCTTGGGCCTTTCAAAGGATGTTTAGATGATGGAAATGTGAGTTCTAAGAAAAGAACGGAAGATACTCCTTCAGAGTTAGAGCATACTTGGCTGAGGAGGAGACGATAATCTCAACAAGCTTTTAAGGACAGGGATGCACTTTGGAATATTGTAGTGTTTTGAAGACTTGACAAGAGAATTTACTTGTTCCTGAGTTGAAAACACAGGCTATCTTTTCCTTCTCTCTTCTTCTTCCGTTGTTTTACTTGATATTTTCTTCATGATGGTTTCTGATGTGCTGTATGTGGGATTTTATTTTGATTTTTTTTTTCTCCTTAGTGAAAACTAAGTTGGCTGCAATAGTAGCATCTGACTGCTTAAAAACAAGAGGACGGGAGAATCCCAGAATACTAAAATTTTCTTTGTATGTCTAGGTGGGGAGTATGTCTATAGACAGAGTAACAGTATAATGGACAATTTTGGTTTTCTGTGGTATCTTTTGGGGAATCTTCTTGTTTCTGAAGAAATATGCTGTTCTTGGCAAAATCTTTAACTGCAGCAGAGGAGAGGGGGATTGGGGGAAAGGAGGTTATTGGGAAGTTTGGACTCAAGGTAAAATTACTGTTTGATTTTTGAGACAACTTAACTGCAGAGAGGTCAGGCACATTGGTATTACTGCAATTAAACAAGAATTGCCAAACATAGCTATTGGAGACTACTATAGAAGATGACAATGGCTAATCAGTGAGGATAAGTTTGGAGTTTAAGGTACAGCTATTTTTGGTCAACTTGTGCATACGTTGTGGCTTAGTATGAAGAGTTCCTGCAGGACAGAAAATAATGTAATGCTGACAAACTGTTTTTCCATGGTATGATTTATACAGTCTCTCTAAACAGCTTAAGTTGACAAAAGAACTACTTAGTCCAGCATAGTTCTGTCCTGTTTGTGGATTTTTCTCTCCCCCTCATTCCTGCACATACTCTAAGCCAACTGCAACTTTACAGGGTTGGTTTATCTTTTCATAATAGGCTAATGGCACAATGTTCCTTCCTCCATGCACCCCCAGCTCGTTTATTTCCAGTAGTCATGGAGTCGTAGAATGGTTTGGGTTGGAAGGCACCTT